AAGAGAATGAAAGATCACTTTTGAAGCTTGCTGTCAAGAATTACTTGTTTTGTCTGTATCCTCACCACAGCAAAATTTGTATTTTGGGGTGGCAGAGGAAGAAGAGGAAAAGGAGGGCAGAGAGAGAACGTGGAAAAACACACATTAGGATTATGGGGTTAGAGGAAGGGGAGGAAGAGTGGTAAATATCAGAGTGAGTTTGTGGGATAACACCTCAGAAGGACTTGGCAAAATTTGTTTTCAGGCATAGTGAAAATCTGAGAACAGAAGGAATGCTGTTCCCTACCGATTTTTTTTCAGTGACTCAACATATACCATCCCTCAGAAAAATGTAAAAAAAGAATTACCCACTTCTCATACTTTCTGGGCTGCTGGAGTTACGGATAAATCAGGGAGTAGCCTATGAGAGACGGACTAGCTGGTATGAGGGAATCAAACAGGAAAAAGATAGGAGCTGGTACCTTCGTGGAAGCAGTGAGGACTGAGAATGTGGACTAGCTCTTCAGCCAGCCTGTGCGGGGAGACGACTGACCTGCCGTAAACAAAACGGGCTGAGCTGTTACCTAGTGATAAGTCACCCCAGATAAGTGTCGCTTTTGCCTGGACCTAAACCCAGCCCTTAGGTTGGGGCATACCTTTTTGGTAGTAGAACGGGCATTATATACACATATAAAAATCCGGGGCTAGAAAACCAGTTCATTTTCTTGAACTGACACAGGAGTAAACCTATTTAAAATTTAGCAATATGGAACTGGTACAACGAGATTATTGACTGGGAATGACAGACAAAAATCAAACGTCCCATGTGAAGAATCGGTGAGTATTAGGAAGAAGGGAATAGCAAGTCAAATTGAAATGGCTTAGACTGTGGTCAAAGTAAGCCAGTACGTAAGGTATGCACAAAGCATTTGTTCTACCCAAACAGGACAGAGTATCGCTTTAAATTGTAGGCGTGTGCAATTTTCTTAGCATTTAGAAATGTCTCACTAACTTTTGAAAAAATTTTATTCCAGCAAGTGATTTCTTCGCAAATGCTATTAAACACCTCAAATCACCTTGTGCTCATTTCAGTAACGAGTGTAATGTCTTCTTGTGTCCCATGAGCCTGAACGAATCTTTCATGCTCTTTTTTTTATTTTGTCTTTCTAAATATGTGTGGGCTGCAGATGGTTCTGTGAAGGAGAAGAACTCCAGAAGACCCCCGACGTTCCGATCCATTCTAGAAGTGGAGGACTTCATTCATTAATTATAGCAGAAGCCTTTGAGGACAATACTGGACCTAGAGTTGTCTGGCCTCAAATTCTGCTGGTTCAGAGAGCACACCAGCTGAAATATTCCTTGAAGGTAAGAGGTGAAACAGTAAGATACTTGACACAGAGAAAAATAACTAAGCTGTTGGTTCCGTATGTTAAGGTTACATTTGCTTTGGTGGTATTTTTATAGTGTTCCTCTGCTTCCCTTTAATGCAGCACATTTTCAATATCACATCGTATTAATTCCGGTATTTCAAGGAATGTCCCAAGAATCAGTGGATAGATTGCTATTTATTTAGTGTACGAGTGAGATAAAGAATGGAAAAGGAGGAACAAGCAGAGCTTTAGGCATAAGGTTAATTTTTAAGCAGTACCCTCTGTAAATGAAAAATTTGGCTGGTGATACCAATAATAATTTTCATGGTAGCAGTAATCGCTGTCTCAGTTTTTAATTCCCTCCCAGTGTAATTAAAGGTGGCAGCCTCAACTGAGTCTTCTTCAGTAATGTGTAAATGTATTATAATTCTTCATATTTGGTACACTGACTTTAAGTCAGGTTACAAGTCAGTCCAGAATCAACTGCTAGGAGTTTTCAAAATATTTCTTGACTTCAAAATTAGTCATAAATCAAGAATTAATTTCTCTGAGGAAAGTCAGTGGCTTGACCATGAGTAAAATTTTTGGGTTTTTTTAATAGATTGGTTTTTAGGCATGATTATATTAATTGCATACTGATTTTTAGTTTAATTCATGCATCTTTCAAACATTTTGCTAATACGTGTTCTTTTACCAGCTTAGTAACTCATTAATTTAAATGGTTAATTGAAAGCATAAAACAAATATTAGAAATACTCATAACAAATCTGAATAATACCTCACCAGAATGATTAAATAGCTTTTGATTAACAAAGCAACAAACTTTTCACTGTAAGTAAGCTAAATCATGACAGGTGTGCATTTATAGGGTGTCTTTCATTGTGTTTGTTATTCTCAGTACTCTGTTATCCCACACTGGGAGAGCAGCAAAATCCTTAAGGCTTTTCTGAAACTTAGACACTTGTAAGACTTTTCTTTACGGAAGTAATCATGAGGCAGGCATGGTACAAACATATAATACTATGTGAAGCTGAAATAACAGAAGCAACGCAAAGAAGAAACAGCTAGGTAGATGCAGTGAAAAAACTCTTTCTTTGAGGTGGCAAAGTCTATGTGGAAGTGCTGTCTTGAAGTTTTACAACATGTCACATCAAGAGAGAATTGTACAAGTTAAGCTCCTCCCCTATGATATTTAAGGAAACCAGATTGTCACAAAAGCATTGCTTTGTACCTTAATAGTCTTGATGACACTGATGCCTCATACTTTCTTCTGTGCATCAAGCCCAGCCACACAAGACCTGCTTATCCTTGGCATAAGAGAAGTATTTTCATACAGACCCACTTTGCTCCCTTGCACTGCTTGTCTCTTCTTCCCTTTTCTCTGACACTTGGTTGGATTTTTGTAGTCTAAACTTTGAAATAAATAGGGTACTCAGGTGCCTCAGTCCAAGCTTTGCTTCCTTTGAATCAATCCTCACCGTACAATGCATATTGATTATGAATCACTTATGATCTGTATTACAAACACAGCTATGCATGTACAGGCACAAAACCTTGGGGATGTCTAAAATGAATTTTGTGTGAAGTACCAGTTGCTAGGAGAAGTTAAGACAAAGGGAATAGATGCTTTCATATTTTTTTCTTTAAGTGAGTTCAGGGTGTTGTCAAACCCATAATTATATAAATTATATAAATACTGGCAAGACATACCAGTACATAAATGTTATGTACAGGTTATTATAAATAGTCTGAACTGTGAAGCTCATGGGTAGCAAATTTAGCCTGAAAATGTCGTGCTGTACCAAGTTGCTTGTACTGAAGGTTGAAAATTTGTTATCTGTGTATAAGCCACGGGTTTGCTCAAGCTTTAACATTCAAGTAAACAAAACTCTACATTTCCAGTAGAGTAGTAGGAGTCAGCATTTTTTGTTGTTGGTGGTTTTGGGGCATATTTGCTTCAGTATGAAGGAAGACAGGTAAGCGCCTTGGGAAAGCAGTTTGCAGTTGTCATGGGTATGATTTCTGTAACTGTCTAAAATGCATAGTTATCTTTCATCAGATAAGAAAACCTGCAGTAGTTTATTACAGAGCGTTCTCAACTCTCAAAGTGAAATGCAAAAGCAACACAGTTTCTTTCTTTGGGATGTAAACATTAAATAAATCAGCAAAAGGATGTGAGATTATTGAAAATATTCTCTTTTCCAGGTGCCGGTTCTACAGATTCAGAGAGTGAAAATTTAATTTTCAAATCAAAATCTGGAGCTATGCCACAGTAAGTGTGCAAAATAGAACCAGTGCAGTACAAATTTGCTTAATAAGGGGCACTAGAAAATCTTTGGCAATTTTCAATCTGAATATGCATTTGGGGTATATTTGTGTCTGTCTGGTCTTTTCTCCTTCTCTCATGTGTTATAAATGTGTAGTATTGCAACTGCAGATTGTGTTAAGATGCTTGTTCTTTCAGAGAAGTCTAGCCGTACCCTGACAGCTCTTTTGTTGTTGTCAACTCCTCATATTCAGGAGTAACTTTCAGTTAACTAAGACTTCATTTGTAATCAACCAGCCCTGTGCATCAGAAAAAAGAAAAAAAAAAGGGGAGGGGGAAAAAAACCACCCCAAACAAAACACACAAAACCACAACATGGAGAGGCCTACAATTAAAGAAACACAATACATTTTAGTTTGTGTCATAATTCAGTACCTTTTTTTGAGTATGAAAGTGTAAATTAGCCCAAGATTGTGTTCTTCTCAAGCTTCCTCCAATGTTGATCTTTTCAGCTGACAACGACATATTTAAAGATCTAGAAAATACAAAGTGGCTTATTGGTTACAAACTGACATATTCTTATTTCAGATTTTATAAAGTGCTTGCTGGTTTTTTGGTTTGGTTTTATTTTTTATTTTTTCAGGGCCCAAAAGAAAACCACCTCTGTTTCCTTGACAATAGGATCTTCTACACCTAAGTCTGGAGTCACCACAGCTGTAATTCAGCCTATCTCTGTGCCCAGTCAGCAGGTATTTTTAGACACCAGTTTTTAAATTAGTGTCGTGGTAAAAGTATTTTATATTTGATTTCAAAATTTGTAAGCCCTGGAAAACTCTGTCATTTTGCGGAATTATATTACTGAACTATAAACTTACATTGTATTAAGAATGGTGATTTTAAAAAATTAAGTATATATCTAGTGAACGAGGCATAAAAGTAAATATACATAGAGATTCTTACACAACGTGTATCAACACAGCATATGAGCAGCTGGCAGATGTGGTGATGGTGAAAATTACAGGGTATATCACTTTGTAGTGACCTGGTCCGATTCCAAAAGAATCTTGTACAAATGAATGCCTACAATGCTTTTTAGCAAAATTTTGAAATTTTGTTATTAAATTAAATATTGCTGTAATTTCTCTGGTCCTTTTAGAGAAAATCCAATTTTACTGTCTAGAAACTAAAGGTAGAAAATCAATGTTCATTAGGTTACGCTAAATTTTAAGGCCACTGTAGACGCCTTGTGAGTTTGCATATAAATAGTAAAATACAAATAAAATAAAAATCTCTGTTAGACTGTACATGGTAATTCTTCTCCCTTCCTTTGGCTAACCTTGATAAGCTTTTAAGTACCTGGATTTATATATTGCTACATCAGTCAAGGGATGTAATAACAGGACAGGCAAAAATGCGTCAGTACAAAGGACTTACTTGAATGATACTAATGTGAGTCCAACTCTCAAAATACTTCAAGGCAAAGACAGTTGGATACAAAATTCTCATGGGAAGTATAGAAGTCTTTAAAGCTTGTATTTTGATTTTAGCATTGTAACAGCTGTGAAATAGTGATGTCACCCAAGAAGCATGCTAGAATGAGAACACCGTAGTAAGACTGTGCATTTGAGAGTTTGCATAATTGCAAGCTGTATTATTGAAAGCAATATTCTATCAGTTTTATAGCATTGTTGCATTGTTTTTCAGGTTCAAAGTCCTACTTCATACCTCCACAGTGTGGATGGACCTAAGCCTATCTATTCTGCACCCATTTTTACAAAGGTATGTTATCCTGATTTTTCTAACATACTCCTATAGTCCAAAAGGAAATATCGAAGTGATATATCCTTTATCCATCCTGATTTTTCTATCATACTCCTATAGTCCAGAAGGAAATATCGAAGTGATATATCCTAAAGTAGGAATGTTTGCTTGTGTTAAAACTTCTAGAGTTTTCATTACCCTTCTCACTATTAATGACTTCATAAGAAAACACTTTTCCACTGCAACGATGAAGTTCTTACGCATTCTACCCTGTTCAAATCCCTAGTGGAATTACATGAGTATTCTGTATGTATTTGTCTTATGCCCATGGCTGTCCTTTATTAAGAAATCTTTGTAAAATAAAACAAGGCAGGCACCAACTACGCAGCATAGTCATTAGAAAGCCTCACTCACAACAATTTATCTACTGACAAGAACAAATAACTCAGGCCTTTTTACTTTGTTTTAGGAAAAAAATCCATGCAGGTATGTTGTTCAGATATTATTCATTGGGATGTCTTGTAAAATGTAGGGTGTGAACTTCTAGAAGGGAAACTTTCATTCGGTAATTCTCAAGTAATTATTCAAGTCAATATTTATCTTCGTGTTCATCCCAAATGAAGCTGTAGAACTGGGTAAAAAGGTAAAAAGGACAGCGTATTTCCCTAATCTCAAAAATATGATTTTCATTTTGTCTTCAAACCATAATTTCTATCGCAGTAACTATTATTAACCACCATTTGTTGAAGTCAAAATGAAGAAAAGAAGGTATTTCTGATTATTACTTTAGGAAAACAGGTGACAAAGCTAAAATGGAACAGCAAGTAATTGTGCCTAGAGATAAGTAAGAGTAAGGACTGTTCTCCACAACTGTCTAGCCTAGCTCCATCATATCCCTTTCTCATGTCAGGAAAGGTCTGATTTCATCCCACGTAATTCTGCGCTGATACTGGAGGTATCACAGGAAAGTGAATAGTGGAGGTGGAAGGGGTCAGAGAAGGTGGGTACTGCAAGGTAGGGAGGCAGGCAACTTCCTAGTAAGAGTGGAAAACAGGAGAAATCTAGCCCTCATTCAAAACTAGCTAGGCAATCAAAACTCCCCTGTTCCTTCCCGATCCTCATATCTCTTGTCCAATAATAATAATCCAATATTGACTGGCTTAAGCCAGTTGGAACATACCAAACCAAAACAACTTTAATTATAGAAGAAATGAACCAGATATGAATAACAAAAAACTCATCCAGTTTCCTGACTCAAATTACTTTCCATGCAAATTTCTGGGAACAACCCAAAGATATTTAGATTTCCATGTAACAAAGTTCTTACGTATCCGATTGATCAATACTAACTGGGGGTAACTCTGATCTTAGAACTAACGTCAAGTGCTTTGCTGCAGCAAGGCCTAAAATTGTATTAATAAATTGGAGAGGGAATGAGACAGCCAGCACAGTTAAAAAGACTCTTTTATAAGCTGATGTTGGATAAAAAAGGCAAAAATAGTCAGTCTCCTGTTAATTCTGTTACATGAGGTACTGTGCTTCTCCTCTCTCACTGTAGTTCTTCGTTAAAGGTTTTGACTCTTCCTGAATTTTTTCAGATGTATATAAGAATTTATTACAGCCATAATTCTGTCTCAGAAGCTATCCATACATATCCCCATCGTATTTGTACCATCGTTGGTTATAAATGGCTCAGAGGAAAAGCAACTCCACATTCTAGAGGTTGACCTGAAAGCAGCAGAGCTACTCTCTCAGGACCAAGTCAATCAACGTGTAGCTAGTTGTACAATTTTCATTTGACTTGGTGGAAGAAGGATGAAAAATGACTGCAACTGTCTGCTTGTGATGGTCTGAGGAACTAAATACTTCTATGCCTTTTCCATCTTTGGTCATATTAAGAATGTATTTTAAAATAACCTATTCCGTCATTTTTAACTCTATAGCTGATACATTAGATTTAATCAGAGTGAAAATACAGCTCACAGATGTGTATTGAAAAAATGGAATGACACAATAAAATAAAGTTGAAATACAGTGGGAAGAAAAGGCTCGTTTTAAGAATATTACATATTACATGCTCCCTGTTCATTTCAGTTGTCATTGATTGCTGTGTTTCAGGAGCTACAAAACTCCACAGCGCTCCCCGTTCATTTCAGTTGTGATTGATTGCTGTATTTCAGGAGCTACAAAACTCCACAGCATCTGAGGGACAAGTCGTGGTATTGGAATGCAGGGTCAGAGGACCCCCTCCCATTCATGTTAAGTGGTTTCGACAGGGCATTGAAATTCAAGATTCTCCAGACTTCAGAATTCTCCAGAAAAGTAAGGCAATAATCTGAGGTGGCTACGTTGCTTACGGGGTGGGGAAAGATCATTAAATTAGTCTGTCAGGATTGAGTTTTGGATAGAGTCCTCTCTTCCTCACACTTCAGAGATTATAATGGCTAGAAGTAATAATTTAACTACTGCTACCAACAGACAATTTAAGTCTCCTCCTATTATAATGTGTCTGCACAGATTCTGTACTTGTCTACAGTATTTCAGCATAAAATATTCATAATTCATATTCATGCAGCATGTTGTCATTTACTAATATATTCTCTAATACCTTTTTTTTGTTTGTTTCCCCTCCTTTTGATGTGATATGCAGAGCCACGATCTGCAACTGAACCTGGTAAGAATCATATGAAAAAATAATCTCTTGACTCACTAGCTCTTTTATTTATGGCTTCAGTACAAACTCAAAAAGTGTTTCTGCTGAGCATTGGAAATATGAAACCCCCTTAAAGGCAAAGCTTCTTTATCACACCTTGTGTACTCTACACTGCCCTTTACATCAATTCCTTTATTAGTTAAACAGTAAATTCCATTTAGATCCGCAAGGAGAGTCTCACGGCTTAAACCCTGAAACAAACTTAATTCTCAGAAAATGAGCGATTTGCATGCTACTGAGGAAAAAGAACAAATCCCACAAAATTCCGTTCCCCAAATTGTACTCATAGGAGTTTCATGACCCCCAGTCACGAAATGCTCGTTTTGCCAGTCTAGCTTGGAAGATATGAAGGGCCTTAAAGGGAAGGAAAAGATGATCCTCAAAACCAAGTGCACAAGGATGTCATGTGCACCTTGGGCTGCTGGGAGAACAGACGTGGCAGCTGAGTGATGTTTGCAAACAGTGTGCCTCTGAGGATACAGACTGGGAAAAAGCAGTGAAGGGTTAATCCTAGCAGACATGCAGCTCTCCCTTAGCTTTCATGGAATGAAGTGGAGGGGAAGAGGGGGAAAAGCTTCTGCTTTTCTTTTGTCAGTTACTCATTAGTTTTACTGCTTCACAAAATTGTTATATAACCATTTTGCCTCACGACATTCATCCATATACACAGACACACGTGTGTGCGTGTGCGCACACACTTGCACGCTCTACCCTGATCATGAATATTATTAGTTGTGCTGTGCAGCACCATCACCTCTAGTAACAGCTGATTCCCTGGATACACGGGACTGAATGATTTTATTTAAGGGAGGTTGAAATGTGAGCCATGTGAAAGAAAGGAGCGTGCTGGAAAACCAACTTAATCTCTGATGAGGCATTACAACATGTCAGTGTGCCAACAAAGGGCTATTGCTAGTTCATAATCACAACCCAAACTTTGTGCTTTAAAATTTGTAAGTTGCACTACAAAAGAGTTTGAGGAGAGTTTCGGTATCACATCAAGCCTTTGGATATGAAAAGAAATGAAGGAGAACAGATTTGTGTTGAAATATGTTCAATTCTGTATCTTTCTTGAAACATTCTCCTGTAATTATCCTATTAGAAAATAAAATATATCTCCCAACTTAGCTGTTTTCTTGATACCTTAAAAAAAAAAAATCAGATCCATGGGTTGGCTTTTTCCCCCTTTCCAGAGAATCTGATTTCCTGTAAAAGCAGTAACAGCTTTTCTAGGTTTAATCTACCAGTGCTATGAGAACAGTACCTGGTATATCTAGCTCACTGTTTCTAGGAGCTTCTTTTCTCCAAAATCACTCTCTCCTTTAGCATGATAGAGGATGGAAACTTTACACAGAAGGTTCTGTAAAGTCTAAATTTGCTAGCATAACTTGTTTTTCTTTTTACTAGCATAACTTGTTTTTCTTTTTACTAGCATAACTTGTTTTTCTTTTTACTAGCATAACTTGTTTTTCTTTTTAATATCTAATTTGAAACTGTTCAGACAATCTCACAATCATGAATACTGGTTTTATTTTTTGGTAATTTTTTTTTACCCCTTCACCCTTTTTAGAAGAGGAGGCTGAGGGGAGACCTGATGGCTCCCTACAGCTCCCTGAAAGGAGGGTGTGGGGAGGTGGGTGCTGGCCTGTTCTCCCGGGTAACTGGTGACAGGACAAGAGGAAACGGCCCCAAGTTGTGCCGGGGGGGGTTTAGATTGGATATTGGGAAAAACTTCTTCCCTGACAGAGGGGTCAGGCACTGGAAGAGGCTGCCCAGGGAAGGGGGGGAGTCACCATCCCTGGGGGGGTCCAAGGAGCGTGCAGACGTGGGGCTGGAGGACATGGTCTGGTGGGTATGGGAGTGCTGGGTTGATGGTTGGACTGGGTGATCTTACAGGTCTTTTCCAACCTGTGTCATTCCGTAATGCTGCGAACGTGTATAATGCAAGGTGACGAAAATACTTTACAGTAGGAATGCAGTGTTATCTAGTAGAAAAGGGAAGCACTTGTTTGCTTGAGACAAAAGGTACAAATTCCTTTGTACTCAACTATTTACTCAGTGTAAGTCATGTATTATGCCTCTTGCTAGAAGATTTTTTTTTTTAATGGACAACTAAGTAATTTTCAGTATTGTTAGTTGCAAGGTTTGTATAGCCTCTCTGACAGATATTACTATGGAATAAGTAAGAATATTCATGATAGTTCACAAAGCTAAAAATTTCCTTTCGTAACTACTACCTGAAATGGGAAATAGAAGGTGGAATTCTGTGTCCAAACAAATCATCACTCTGCCAGCTCTCTTACATACCTGCACCATCGTGTCAGTGGTGGTGAATGCTGTCCTTCCTGTGACTGGTTAGCTTGCAGACCCTGGGAGAAAATACTTGAAGCCTTCTAAAGAATACTAGAAATGTATCCTTACAGGAAAGGTGCATTTCTTGAGGTTTCACAGGTAGTTATTTAATATCAAGCAGTCTCATACCGCTCTCAAAGTAGGTGGCAAGGTAGAAGTAGGAAGACATCTTAAAATACTTTGATATCTGTATTATCGAGGTTTAAAAGACAAAAAAATAATGAATGTCTGAGAGCAGCCCGTTGTATGGTTTTTTTTCTCATGCTTGTAATGCTGTTGTAATATATATTTATAAGCAACTTCCTGCTACCCAAATCCTATGAAAGAGTTTCAGTTTGGTGTTTATTTTTCCATGATTCATTGAGCTAAGGACTATCCTGTAAGATTTGTGCATGTATCAGTTCCTACTGAGCACTCTTAAATAATGTGCAGTGTCTTAGTCTCCACGAAAATTAATGACAGTACACTTATTGGCTTATTTGTGTGGGATTTGACTCTGTGCACGCAAAGGGAATGTAAATAAAGTTTGGGACAATCTTTCCTTTCGGCATAATTGATGAGCAGTGTTTTGTGTATTAGTAGTAATATCGGTAGTGAGTAACACTGGTTTTTAGGATGTCATGAAGGATCTTAAAATTCCTACAAGAGGAAGCTGGGTGGGTGCCAGAAACACAACAGGGGCAGCACTGGTTTGTGAGGCAATTCATACTCTGAGAAGCCAGACAAAACAGTACCTGCAGAGGAAATTCTTCATAAGCGAACGTCCAACTGCTGTTCAGTGCAGACGGTGGATATGTGTGCAAGATTGATAGGGAAACCAACATGCCTATGCGAGAGAAGTATTCAGAATTTTGAAAGATGGACGTGATTTCTAAAAAATTTTCCAAGTGTACAACTTCCCTGGAATTATACATAAATTGTTACAAGATGTAGTGTGACTTTAATTGCTGGTTGTCAACCAAAGTCCAACCATCAATAAACATTTTATAGTGCTCAGAAACATTGGTTAACCTTTGCTAGGCCAGTACCAATGATTTAGAAGAAAAACGTTCCATGAACTCACACAGGTAAGAAATTCAGAAGTAAGGGAGTTTTTTTTGGCTACTTTTTTTTTTTTGGTACATTCTATCTACCCTAATGTGTTTCACACTCCTTTTTCTGTCTAGACAGAAATCAGTTTGCATCACAAATCTCTCCAGACTGCTTTGTGAATTAATAGCTAGTCAGATTACTTAAAGCCAACATCACAATTTGTCAAATAACCTGCTCTGTACTTCTTTCTTGGACGTTTTGACTTTCTACTGATTGAATCCTTCAAAGAACAGGCTGCTTGAGAATGTAAAATCCCATGGAGTCATTTGCCAGCTGTTGATATTTTGGCCATTACTCAGCTGTCTGGAGGCAGCCACAAACTGTATTGAATTACATTAAAACAATTGTCTAATGGTGTGTAAGGAGAAAACTAAATGAAGTAATTTCTCTTAAATTTCCAGGGAATTGCCACATGTAGATACTTTTTTTTTTTTTCTCCTAAGCACAATACTATCTGGGTTCACCAAAAACATCTCAAAAGATAGTCATCACTTCTCTTGGTTTGTGCTTTCTGTTTGGCTGGTGTGTTCTAGAGCTTCAACTCCACTAACTCCCCCCCTTAGAAATCCTTTCCCCTTCCCCCCTCCCCCCCACCAAC